TATAATATAATTTTTATATAATATAAAATTAAAAAATCTAAAATGTTTTTTTCCTTCAGAAAATTTAACAAAGTAAAAAATAAAGGAGTAAAAAATAAAGGAATAAATTAGGCATTATTTCACAACATTTGCTTTTTCCAAAGAGATATGAATTTTGTCATTTGTATTAATATTTAGAATTGATATTCTTATTTTTTTATTCAATGGTAATTTAATCATCAATTGTTTTTAATTGTTGGTAAAGTGGAAATTATCAGAAAACATGATACAGAGCAAAAACAGCGTGTATTTATCAAATACGCCATCTGTTGAGCTATTGAGGTATTTATTCATATTATATTGAATGTGATGTGGTACTATGATTCACCTTAGTGAGTTGAATATTTGGATATCCATTGATCCATTCTAAGGAAAGACGAAAATGTGTTATATGAATGAACTGTTCGCCAATATTTAACACAGTCTTCGTTTATTGTAATTATTTAACTGTAGATAATATGAGATTTATCAGAAATAAATAATACTGATACATTTTGTTACTTTAGCAACTATTATCAGTGGAAGACAACATGGAAAAGGTAGTTATCACAATCTTTCCAGTCCCTTTTGTAATTCATTATTTATATTCATTTGACTATTTTGGTTATGACAGTCTCTCTACTGTATTAATATCATATATAGTTATCACTTAAATATATAATTATTTAAGTCGTCAATTATATTTTTTAAATGCAAATGAAACAATATACATATATATCTAATCATATATATATTGTTTTTTTTTCTTTTTACTTATGAAGAAAAATATAAATAATTATTATTTTTTATACTTTCAAGTCTGACAAGAGAGAGATTCCAATTACATTGAGGAAAGCATTGGCAGTGGATGCCTATTTAACAGATGAATTTGTCAAATTAGTGGAAAAGATTTTACCTTTAAGACAATTAAAAGTGCATAACAAATTATTGGAGGTATAAATAATTATTTATTTCTTTATTGACTACTGTTACAAGCTTCTCTAATAATATTAATTTGTTTTTTTCTATCTGTCTGTAGATATCATGTCACGGTATACCTTGGCTTACAATATCTCTTATTTCAATTTGGATTTTTAATGTCAAATCCTTGTATCAAATGCAAATGAACCTTCTAATAGGTAAAATTCAAATAAAATTCTATTAAAATTGATTCTTACACTTACAGTATGTTAATTGTGTTTCTCAAATCAATTGATTAGGATACATAAATAAAAAAAATCATTTCAGGATTATTGTTCGATATCATCGTAGTTGCTGTGCTCAAGGCAGTCACGAGAAGGAGACGACCAACCTCTAATGACGATCCATTTTCTTTGGGTCCTGATAAATATTCCTTTCCATCAGGACATTCATCTCGTTCTGCATTTGTTGTATATTTCTTCTTCAATCTATGGCCTATATCATTGATATACTCACCACCTTTGTTAGCATGGTCTTTTTCTGTATGCATGTCCAGACTACTTATGAGAAGACATTACATATTAGATGTGTTTGGTGGTATACTTCTAGGTATCTTTGAGGGCCTACTTATAGGTTATATTTATTTAGAACAGGAGACATGTATGTATTTAATTTCATGGATTACGGACGACAAAATACCTGGGTCTGAATAGTACTCAGATTATCGTGATAAAGAAAATATATTGGATTGTTTACACATGTAATTTTTATAATCAGCTATATTTTTCATTAATATTAAGATAATGTCAATTAAAAAAAATCTGAAAGATTTTAGAGTCTATAATTATATAATTGCGAATTACAATTTATTTTGTCAGATATTTTCCAAAAATATTATTAAAGTATTCATATATCACATGTGCTTCCTTCTTTATTAATTTATCATTGATATTAATAAGCACAATAATAGTTCACAAAAACATAAATATATTAATGTTACAGTCATAAAAAAGTGTCATTACCAAATCATTATCATAACAGAGTAATTATAAGGAAAATAACGGTATAGGGAAGTAACTTGTTACTTTTATTCCCTGCAATTAAATTAGTTGGAATTTGATTCTCTCGCTTCATCAATTCAAAAAGCGGGTTTCTCGACCGCTTTCACTTTGAGCGACCCTGGGACTTCACCTTCACCATTTCAAGAGACCTAGAGAGCTAAAGTTTAAGGACGAGATGTATCTTTAAACCTATTCTTTTTCCACCAAGAATCCCTTTTCTAAACTGATGTACACTGATGCAGTAATTTAGAGTGAGACAGGTATAGTTTGTTTCAGTCTAACGTATTACACTACAGTACAGAACTAATTCAGAATTCTTCGAAAAAGAATAAACGGTTTATCTCTCAAGCTTGGACTTTGGAACAATTTTATGAATCTGAAAAAGCGTGCAGTGAAAGTCATCATATCAGTCTTTTTCCTATAATTGTAAAATTCCTTTCACGTATTAGCGTCAACTGGAAAAGTGGCCAACTATATGTATAGCAATACTTTTCCAGTCTATTACACAGCTATTTCATTCATGTCTATAACAGAATCAGCGATCAGTGTCTAGAGTAGTAAAGTACACATATATGAATTTGGCATGTATTAAATGCCCATATATGTCATTAAATTCTTTCTGGTTATATCTGGATCATTTTTACGAGCGATTGTTTTCAGCTACTTTTGCACACTTTGCAATAATGCTTCAAAATCGTTTGAACAGTGCAATAATTTTTTTAAAGATATTTAGAAGATTTAGAAAAGATTAGAAATGAATTAATAAAATAAAAATAATATTTGACAAGTTACATTCGTAATAAATAAATAATTGAACAAAATGAAATTATGTACTTTATCCATTTTTTAC